AAGTGTATTACAAAGTCATCATGAACTAAAACTTGGTAATTTGCAATCATGTCTCTGGATAGTGAGCCTTCAATTAGAGGTGTGAGCGTATGTTTTCTCTGTCGACAGTCCCTAAGCTACCCTTTCCTATTAACACTAATGCACTGTTGACACACAGTAAGTCTCTGTGCTACCATTTATCTTTTCCTCCGGGGCATTAGAAGCACAAAAGTTGTCAAGCCAAACAAAGTTATCACCACAAGGAGGTGAAAGTGGACCCACAGAAGATAATAATGAACAAGAAAACAAGACATCTATAACCATCCATCCAGGGACTTGTGTGATGAAACAACACTCTGTTTATTTTGCAAGAAGTAAATGTTATGAGAAGCCAGATAAAATACATTTTTTAATTGCTCTTACATGCTTACATATTGGCTCACAAAAACCCAAACACTATCTCAGTATATAACACAAACTTTTAAAAACATAAACTCTCTCACATATACCATCAAGCTATTTTACATGTGTCTTAATACTCTGATAAACTCCATTAAACTATCTCATAAATACCATCAGTCTCTCTTACATATACTCTCAAACATATAACAAAGTTTCTTCCAAAAATTCAGCAGGAAATTATTCTAAAACAATGCGTTATTAAATTACAATAAAATTAAATTCATTACAAATTAACCTCTTAACTGCCAGTGTTGAGAATCTTAATAAAGTAACTAGTTATAGTTACTAATTACTTCTCCAAAACGTGATGATTACTTACTAACTGCACAATAAAAAAAAAAGTTACCAATCAAAGTACATATGCTTTGAGAGATTTGATATTGCAAACTGTTATTGTATCTTTTAAAGGGAAGTTTAATTTTCAAATAACAGAGATTTTATATTAATAAGTTAATTAAATATCTAATAAAAAGGATTAACATTTGAAAATATTGTACACTCATTTGAATAGGTTTGAGGTGCTGTTGGACAAGTTGTTTCAATATATTTATGTAGATATAGATATTGTGTTTCTGTTTGTAATTAAATTAAATTAAATTTTGGCTATGAAATAGTTGTGAAGCTGAAAAATAATGCTTTCATCCAATTCAACAAAATAGAAATGTATTTAGTTTAGATTTGTTTCACTTTTGTTTTGGTAAATGAAAGAGATTAAAAATACATATAAGAGAGATTGATAAGATTTGTTAGAGTTTGATTGTATATGTAAGAGTTTTCTGGTAAGTATGGCAGAGTTTTTTAGTATGCATTAGACATTGATATCATAGCAGTGTTTGTGAGGTCTGGTTCTCTCTATACCAGTGAATTGCTGTTAGCTCATGTGAAAGTTTATGTAATCATGTAAGAACATTCCTTCATTTCGTTTAATGGAGCCTCTTATAGATGTTGGTGGTGACAATCAATTATTCAGTGGGAATCTCTCTGTGAAATATCCAGTAACAATCAAGACGATCTCTCTAACAAAAACAAGTTCTCTTTTTAATTAACATTTTTAAGGTAGTGGCTAAAACAAAGCCACTTATAATTATCCTTGCTAGTAACAATGCCTGCAGCCATCTTTAAAGAAATGTCAAACAGCGGGCTGTGGCTTCCTTGCTAGACAACATTCTGTAAATTCCAAACACAAACAACACTGGGTTTTACTGTAGATCAAAGTCTTTATTATTTCCAGTCATTTCTTTTATCGAGCTGCTACATGTGATTGTGGCAATATGAAATACTCCTTACAATATATGTAATATCAAATTATTGAATTATTAATTAATATTAAAGTTGCCAGTCTTTTATCAATGTTTAGTCATCAGTTGAGTTTATGTGATTGTATGGATGTTTGGATCCATCAGGAGCCCCTCCCACACTCACCCACATATCTAGGATAACAACAGTACAAAGTAATGGTCATAAAAAAAAGCTAAAATAGGAAAAAAACAAGCTTGCTTGATGATACCCCAATTTAAAATACACAGCAGATTTGGCATACGTTATTTAAACAAAATAGTCATAACAGTTAACTACTAGATAAAGTAAATGTTGTCATTAGAATAATGTGGGAAAGTACTATAGAAGCACCAAAGATTAAACACAGTGAAGCAAGATCTTTGTATTTCCTTATCTTTTGGTAATAGCTAGAAATGTTTTGTTTCAGGGAAAACATTTAATTATAAATTACATATTTTCAGATTTTTCATTCCCTTGTTTAAATTAGTTTGCCTATCGCTACTTTTACTGTTTTTTTCTGTTTTTACAGCCTCATTCATGCTTGTTTAGATTATACTGTCTGGTTTAGATTTGATCTTTTTTCACAGCTTTTACACAAACCTGTTAAACCTGTGAGGTATGTGGTGTTGCATCTGATGTTTAAAGTTTATGCTCCTGTACTGTAAGTCTAAACACACTGATTTCTTCAGCTTCAGGAAAAAGATTAGAGATCTTGAACCACTTATATAGATTTTTAAAAAGTCCATAAATGGTCTAATTTTCCTTCTGGTGAAAAACCTACAAGGCGGACATTATTCTGTAAGTGTATTACTAATGAATGTATTGACTGTGGAATCTTTTACATGTTAAAAAACAATAGAGATAAGCTGAACCTTTGCTTTTATCTCACTAACTGGCTGTCAGAAAGGTGCTTTAACAATGCACCAAAAATTGTAGTCTATGTCCATTATGACATAGATGAGGAGAGAGGACAAATTTTACACAACATTCCCACGGATATTGTGTCTCCTTTAAAAATGTGCCACTGTATATATATATATATATATATATATATATATATATATATATATATATATATATATATATATATATATTTAGGTCATTGCTTTTTTTTTTTTTGCTATTCATGGGATTTTGTTTGTGGGAATTTGTTGGTTTGTTTTGGATTTTATACAAGAAGTATTCAAAAGAACAAATTGATTCTTGACATGTTTGTATGAGCGATTTCAGCAAATGTGTGTGAGTCGAGGTGATCGCACTTATATGTAGCCTTATGTCACAGTACTGGGGCAGTAATTATGCAGATTAACATTTCTGGGGAACATATTCACATGCGCACAGTTGGACTGCATCACGTTTACTGGGACCATTTATGATTTTCTACTAAATATACTGTAAGAACCTTTGTTAAATCTAATGTGGCCCATTCATATGAGCCAACGGTGGGAGAAAAAGTAAGAGAAATGTATGACAAGAATATGAAAATGTTGTTGCATGAGGCCCAATATTTGATGAGGTGCAGTGTACTCCTTAAGGCCTGGGGTCCTTAAGGACTTTCCTTGGGCTGTTTTGCATGTTGGACATTTGCCATCCCTCCCTCTGTTTTCACTTGTCATGCTAAGCACCTAGAATCTCATAGCATCTGCAGTTTTCATCTGATCCTGCACGTAAAAATTTCTTTAAAAAAAACTCATAAATAATCAAAGTTTCAATCTAACACCTGTTCCCCTTGTTTCAAGAGGTCTGACTGAACTGTTGCTAAGACTTCTTGCTAAGCTCCTACAAGTAAAATAATCTTTATTCTCTGTATAATAAACTTTTGTTTAATATGACTAATTAGCTTACATTGTTTTGGACTTTATACAAACGTTATCTTTTTAGTCTTTTTTCTACAACTTCAGATAATAAGTTTTCTATTTAACTGTAGAATTTTGACTTTAAGTTTTTCTGTGATTTAATATCAAATATATTGAAACTTAATTTAACTTTAAAACAATTAATTTAATTATATGATATTTGTTCTAATCTGATTCTCCAAAAATACCAAACAGCTGCAACAACACTTAGCTTTTTTTTCTGATAACCATAAAAAAATCTGGCTTTTACATAAAATTCCTGAGGCCTCACTATACTGATGTCTGATCCCTTCTGTGCAGGGCATACTTAAAGGAATAGTACACCCAAAACATGATTAGCCTTCATTTTCTACTCACTCCATGCTGAACAACACCCTGGAGTACTTTTTTGATATCTCAAATGCATCTGGAGATCTGGGAGGCTTCTTGCTGTCTGCTGACATTCAAATAATGGAGGTCTATGGTGACCGAGACAGAAAGGTCCATAAAAGTCCACAAAAAACGTTTCAATATTCCTCCATACTGCTCGTCCAATGTATTTCAAGTGTCCTGAGTGGGTAGCATCCAGAATTTACTCGAAACGAAGTCATTTAGAATGTTTTTAGAGCATAAACAGTAGTGTATAGGATTTCCTGAAAGCGCGCACATGCGCGCTCACGACGCTACGGAAGCCGGCAGACCAAACCAGATGAAAGTGCGCATTCAGCTCGGCAAAGAACTCATGCTCTTCCTCAACACTGAAGTCCTCAGACATTTTTCTTTCGTTGTTTCTTTCTTTGCACAGGTAAACAGCACATTTCTTCTTCTATGCTTGCATTATTGGCAGAGCAGACGCTGAATGCGCACTTTCATCTGGTTTGGTCTGCCGGCTTCCGTAGACTCGTGAACGCGCTTTCAGGAAATCCTATACACTACTGTTTATGCTCTAAAAACATTCTAAATGACTTCGTTTCGAGTAAATTCTGGATGCTACCCACTCAGGACACTTGGAATACATTGGACGAGCAGTATGGAGGAATATTGACACGTTTTTTGTGGACTTTTATGGACCTTTCTGTCTCGGTCACCATAGACCTCCATTATTTGAATGTCACCAGACAGCAAGAAGCCTCCCAGATCTCCAGATGCATTTGAGATATCAAAAAAGTACTCCAGAGTGTTGTTCAGCATGGAGTGAGTAGAAAATGAAGGCTAATCATGTTTTGGGTGTACTATTCCTTTAAAACTCAAGATGAGTGAAAGTCTCAGGTTAAGTTGACACAGACCAAAAAAACACTGTTAAAGAAAATAAACGTCCTCCAGCCATGCAGTGGTACTCTAAAAAGAAGTAATAGACATTTGTTTTCACAAGACAATCGCCACAGGTTAGTGACTAGACACTTCAGTAAGCATTTGTCATAACTCAACTTGTTGAACAAGCCTGACAACTTTTCCAGGAAGAGCAATCAAAGGCTTTAACTTGGCTCCGTAAAGGACAGCTGTGTGACTCTGGAGAAAAGCAGTAAAATGAAAGTTCCTTCTTGACGAGAGCAGTTTGGAAGCCAGAAGTCGAGAAGAGGTGAGCTGATCACAAAATGTTTTTTTTTTTATCTTTTCTTTCAATAATCTTTTTTGCGTTTTGGTTAAACTGCTTTGTTTCAAGTTTAGTCAACGCTGTGATTTACGACTTGACACTATGTACACTTTCTATCTATCTCCTTTCGTTCTGTATACAGAGAGGTGAACTCGAATGAGGTGAACAATACTCACACTATCATCCTCTTTCCTTTTGTTCTCCATTTACACATCTCTATGCTCATTAACAGAATTTTATTAAACCACTTGTTGATTAATATCTCCTTCAAAATAGGGTAAATGATGTCACAATGTAATGATCTGATTAGCTTAAAAACGTACTGTTTTAAATTGTGGTGGTGATAAAATGTGGTTTTATTAAGTTTAAGATTTTAAGACTTTTACTCTCTTTATACCTTCTCTTTATTTTGTGAAAAAGAGATAATGCCCCTGATCTGTTATGATAGACTGTTCAATGTTGCTTTATAAAAAGTCTTTATTTTACTTTACGGTGTTTTGAGTTAGTCATACTTAAGGTAAACTGATGTTACATTGTTGCTGCTGAGAAGAAAAAAACAAAACAAAGATTTAGTCCTTTAGTTGGTGTTTTACCCCTGATTGGAGCTCTAATATTTAACATTCTGCAATTGAATGAAGTGAAAAACCAGCCAGGAGTAATTTCATTTTCTCTTAAGAAAATCTCAGTGACTGCCATGTTTGAGACTGTGTTTAGTCCTGCAGTTGCAGTGCACATTCATGCATTTCCTTCTATTTGTAATATGCTACGTCATTAACAAAAAAACAAAACATTATAGCCTAATACAAACTCACTCTTACCAATAAATTAACTAAATGTATTTCAGTTCAGATTCATTTTTTATGCTCATAGTTTCATTCCTCTCTAAAGCCAATTATATTTTTTGTTCAAAATACAAACAATTTGGTCTGCAAAAGGGTGTCCTTTAGAATAGAATAGAATAGAATAGACTTTGTTGCGATTAAACTAAAAGGGACCACAGAACTAACGGTGCGCCTACTCAGCCACCATGCTACGTAGACAGAAAAACAGATATTAACAGACAACTTTTATTTCTATATTACTTGCTTTGTTTTCCCCAAAGTTTATAATTCATTATTTGGTCTTGAAATTTACCTGTCCAGCAAAACTATCAATTCTAAGGCATCCACGTATAAGAAATATAAAAACATTAAGAATATGTTTAAAATTTCCCTTTTCGTTCATATTTCAATCCGTTTTCTCATGAGTGGGTGTGAGTTTAGGGCGATGTGTGCTCCTGCGACAGGGGAGGTAATTCTTGGCACAGCAGATGAAACCCAAAGGAGAGAATCGAAGCAGGGGCGGATTTGGGAAAGTTGGGGCGCTAGGCAAAGACAGACATGGGGCCCTCTGAATTGAGAACACAATTCATAATACAGACCCATATAGAGATACAGAAATTTTAATAAAATAGTCAAACATTATTTACTACATTGTGACTGCCCTTAATTATGTTTTATATTTTTATATTATGTCTAGGGGAAAAATAACAATTCAAGATACCTTTAATCACATTTTGAAGAGTCAAAATGCATTTGAGATATCTCAAATTACATCGTCTGATTTGTCATTTAAAGTGTCACACATCTGGAATTATAATCAAGATATTTCAGTTACTTTGAACTAGTCAAAACTATATATTTTTAATATCCCAATTATGAAATATCCCCCTAGTGCTGTCACTGAGCTGTCCTAACAGTTGTCTGCAGAATTTGCATGGCTGCTATGGTGTTGGCTCCTCTTGACAAAGTTGTTTCAAAATGCCACAATATACAGTAGAATGAACTCATCAGTATGGGATGTGCAGAGAACAAGAACTTTTTTAACTCTAAGTCCCATTTCAATTGTATTATAAGTTTTATTTTTCATATATTTAAACACTTTTTTTTGTAAAAATTTAAAATTTTTCTTCAATAGCTTCACTTCTCTGCTCCTATCATCCTTCACCAGTGTTGCCAACTCCCCAGCAAGAAAGGCCGCTATCCTATATGGCGCTAGATAATGCCTGTCGTCCAATCAATGGTAAATAGCTTCAGTTCGTTAGAATAGTTTTAACTTATTCATTGCCAGCATGTAGTCTAGTTTACTTTAAATTAGCCAATAGAAGCAATACTGATTTTCTGATAAACAGTCTATTTTGTAAAATAAATACTCTAAGTGAATATTTGAAAGGTGATTAAAATTATTACATTTTATACAGGCTTACTTTATATTCAGGCTAATTCTAATGTTTTTAAATTTGTTAGCAGTTTTTTTCAGACTTTGACAATTATTTCTGCCGGTTCAATTAAATTAATTGAATTTGAATTAAAAAAATACTTGACTTGAAAGGATTCAGATATTCATTTGCAATGTTTTATGAGGTTTTACTCCAAATCTTAATAGATTCGTTGCCAAAAGATTCTCCAAAGTAAAATCAAAGAAATGTCTTACCATGACTGTGAAGCTGATTACAGCGGGAAATTAGTCCCTAAGTAGAGGCAGTGACAGACATGCCAGTCGAGGGACTGACTTCAGTTCTACTTTAAGGTGCCTTGCTCAAGGTCAATGACCAGCATACCTGACATCAGAGATGGGAATCAAGTAGATTTTTCTGATATTTTTACTTTACTTTACTACTTATTTTTATGGCGACTTTTTATTTCTACTCCTTACATTTTCACACAGATATCTGTACTTTCTACTCCTTACATTTTAAAAAATTGGCTCGTTACTTTAGTTTTGAATCATTTCAATGGAGTTACCGTTATTATTTTTCACGTCATCAATACCAAATTCAATCTAATTGGATGGGAATCTACGTTGCATTTGACGCACCACTACAAGATGAATCGACAGATTCGGCGGTATTCATTCGCTGCAAATCATTGCAGCTTGGTGGCGGTGGCGTTAGCATAGTAGTATGGACGACGAGATGATTGAAAATGAACACAAGGGAGATCTAGTCCTATTGGCAGACATCCATTTAAAATGTAGGCAACAGCATGAAAAAAGTGGTTTCTACTTTTACTTTATACTTTAAGTAAATTTACAAGCCTGTACTTTGTTACTTTTACTTGAATAAAGAAGTTTAATCAGTACTTCCACTTTTACCAGAGTATTTTTTTAACACAAGTATCTGTACTTTTACTCAAGTACGGAAAGTGAGTACTTTTGCCATCTCTGATGACATGTAACAGCCATACAATGAATAGTGCTTTATGTTGATAGAATATATTAATTATTGCTTGAGGGAAAACTATGCTGAGCGCGAATGTGGAGGACCAATAATGAGGCCCACATACTGATGGTGTTTGGACAGAGAATATTTGATCTAGATGCAAGTGGAGAGTGGGGAACTGCTCCCCAAGGAGAATTCTCATGTAGGCCTTCTTGTTCTATAGGAGACTCAGCGCTCTGCATAGTGTGAGGGCAATGGTATTTTCTGTGGTCTGCTCTGTAAGTAAACTGGTGTGAGTCAAGGGAGATACCCCCGGGTGTGTTGAGAAACCAATCACTCCTAACAATTCATGACTAAAGATTCAGAGGCCTATTTCACAAAAACTGAACTCAAGCATTTCGGGATAAAAGATAAATCCAGGCTTGACCTAGCGTGAGGAGTACCTTCTGGCTTCATCCATTCCACAAGGACCAAGTCAGGCTCCACCAGTGCTGCTATGTCCTGCCAGGTGTGAGTAATCAAACTAAATGCAGGTCTAAAGTTTTCTTTGAAAGATCACCTGGTTGATCACAGATTCACTAATAGAACAAACAATAGTGGACCGACTAAATGTCTAAACAGTGACTTTAGGGATTGGCATTATCCTCAAATGTAACTGCTGCAAATATAGATGGTTGAACCAAGACTGCAGTGTATAATAGCCTCTTTGGACTATTCCTCCTCCCTCACCTAATAACCCCCTGAGCCAGAGTCAAGACTTGGACTGTGTAAAGTGCCAAAAAATTATCCATTTCTCCTATTTCTTTGAGGACCAGCCACAGCATTGTTCTGAACCTGCAGGGGCTTATCTGCACTAAGTTCTTGAGGTTCAGTGTTCCAAATGATTCTTATAGTGGATAAATGTATGTATCATTTTACATACCATTTCATGTATATTACACAAATAATATTCATAATATGTTTCCTGTATAAATGGTTTAGGAGAGCCAATATGATCATTTTCATTGATCAAGCTGCTGATTTACTAGCAGTTTGCAACTACTTAAGGTGTTGCCATGACTGCTGCACTGAAATATATTTCTGCAGTTCTTGTAAGCTATCATTGACTGTTCTTTCCTGCGTTGCTACTGTAGCTCTGATGCTGTAGTTTTCTGATTATTTTCTGTTACTGTTACCTTATAGCCCAAAAGAGAGTTTGTAAAAACTGAATTAAAATGCTTGTAATCAGTTTTCTTCATATTTGATTTAGAAGTAAAATATTAACTCAAAAAAGGAAGAAAGGAACTAATCTTTTTTTCATATCATTTTACAGAATAGATTTTGATAAAAAAACAAAAAAAAAAACTGTTGTTCCTTATTTTTCCTCCAAGGCTGCTAAGCACAGGTCCTTAGCAGCCTTGGAGGGATGCCGTCTGGTCCTGAGGCTTTCCTCTGTTTCAGCCTTATCAGTTTGCCTCCCACCTGCATTAAGGTGACCATGAGGGGGGAGGAAGGCAGGCTCTGAGTAGAGGGGGGGTGGAGTTGGAGGTCTTCTCTGTGGTAAGGACTGAAGGTGAGGATGTGTTGGGGGTTGGTCAGAATGGCTGTGGAGGGGAGGGGAGGTCTCTGTTGGGCTGGGGGATGGAGATTTGAAAAACCATCTTCACTTCTGTTTGATTCATATTTCAAGAACATATTTGTTCAATTTTACAACAGAGCTAAGCTTTGGTGTGGCTTGAGCCTAGAATAAGATATATCATATGAATATAAAAACCAAGTTTAGCTATGGTTTCTGTGGATAACATGC